CAATCGCGTAGATACCATTATAATACTTATACAAAATATAATAAACAATTGCATAGATACCATTAACATACTTATACAAAATATAATAAACAATCGCGTAGATACCATTATAATACTTATACAAAATATAATAAACAATTGCATAGATACCATTAACATACTTATACAAAATATAATAAACAATCGCATAAATACCATTAACATATTTATACAAAATATAATAAGAATAGATATGTTCAATACAATAAATATAATAATCATAATAAAATAATATAAAGGTATTATTAGCTCTTGATAAAACTATAATAACAACAAATGCAATCTTAATAGGAACAATATGCGTTTACATCGTTTACCCTAGAGACACCCGACTGTTCAAACCAAAGATTACGCATACACCCAATGTCGGAAGAAGAAAAAAGGTCAAACATGTTAAGAATGAAGAGCATTGCTTGGCAGATAAGCTCACCAAACATGCTCCCGGCACCACCACTCCTGATACTAGGTGCTATCATATACTACATGTCCAACAATCCTGATACTAGGTGCTATCATATACTATTTATCTACCACTCCTGATACTGGTGCTACATATACTACGTCTATCGTACCACTCCTGCATACTAGGTCTATCATATCTATCTATCTACCACTCCTCGATACGAGGTGCTTTCATATATTACCTGGTCTACCACTCCTGATACTAGGTGCTTAATCATATACTACCTGTCTACCACTCCTGATACTAGGGCTATCATATATTACCTGTCTACCACTTCCTGATACTGGGTGCAATCATATCCTACCTGTCTCTAACCACTCCTGATAGCTGTGTTCTAGTATATAACTACCAATCCACCACTCCTGATACTACGTGCTTATCATATACTACCTATCCACCACTGCTGTTGATACATAGTGCTAATCAGTATACTTATCTATCTACCACTGGCGCTGATACTAGGTGTATATATCTGATTATCTACCACTCCTGATACATGCGGTGGGCT